CACACACACACACACACACACACACACACACACACACACACACACACTTGCAGAGGTAGAGACAGAGAAAGAAAGTGCACTCTATTAAAGAACCATAGGAGCACAGTGACATCAGTGCCCACAGCACGACCCTTGGAGTATGCCAAGCCTAACTACTTTTCTTTTTAAACATTTTTATTTACTTTTATGTGTAGGAATATTTTGCCTGGACCTATGGATGTGAGCAACATATGTGCCTGGTGAGTGTGGAGGTCAGAAGAGGGTGTCAGAGCTTCTGGAACCGTGGGTGCTGGGAGCAAAACTTGGTTTCTCAGCAAGAATAGCAAACGCTCTTAACTGCCGAGTCATCAGTCCAGACCCCAAGCTTGAGTTCTTATCCAAGTTTAGACACTTATTTCTACAATAATAAAGCATTTACAAGCCAGTTTTCTTCTGTATGAAGTAAGAGAAATAATTTCCATCTAAGGTTCTTAAGAGCCCCAAAGACAAATGTGTGCTGTGTACAGACATGGTAATGACAGTGATTCCCTGAGCTACCTTCCATTTTCCCCATTATTTATCTTCATCACTCAGTCTCATCCCAAGGGAGTTTCTAAACAGGAGCTAAGGGAAATAAGCTTGAAGCATGAATTGTAATAGTTGACAAGTTCTGTCAATGTCACCTTTATTTACCTAATAATTATAAACGTCAGTGCTAACCCCTGGTGTGGGTTTCCTTTGTGACACTGCATTACAGAACAAGAAAGGACAGGCGCTCTCAGGTGGCTCTCCTTAGAAAAGGACGCTGCCTGGAGAGGAGCTACAGGGCCTTGGGAGAGCAGGGAGATGCTAACATCTTTATGCATTGCCTGCAGATGTGTCTGCAGATGTATGAGGCGTGTTCTAAGTTTCTGGAGTCTGAAGGGGAAACCATCCGCACAAGCTCAGAGGCCCCTACTTTGTATAGACAGTGTGAGGCCTAGCACCCTGTGACCGGCCTCCCCTCCAGTCAGATGCTGGAGCCCATTTTCTAAGAGGCCTTAACAGCGGGTAAACACAAGCAAGAAGTCAGAATGGCAGCTACCAAATCCTCAGAACAGGACAAGAGCTGACCTTGTCCGGTACCAAGTCTGCATTATCTGTTACTTACTATTACACTTTTTAGTTTATAAAACAAAGGCTTTTTCTGTACCTTTTAAAAAAAAAATCTCTTTTAACTGGAAGCTATTTGAATGAAGGAACTGTAAGTACTCATTTGCTTCTGTCCCAATGGACAGTTGAAAAATAGCTAAATGAATGAAAAAAAAATGAATATTAATCTTAAAGTTCAATAAACTCGAAACAAAGGCTATGAATTTCAGCTCAGGAACATAGAAAAACCATGACAGATTACTGATGAGATCATCTGGATGGTAACTACCTGAGGAGTATATTCCCTGCTTTCAGTCTCTAGGTAAGGAAGCTATGTGACTTCACAGGGCACCAACGCGACAGATAATCACCTTCCCAATAAGAATTCCTCAGACTTAGTATCTTTTTCCTTTAGTATTTTGTTTTCCTTTGACAATGTCTCAAATAGCAAGGATGGCTCAAGCTCACTATGTAGCAAAAGCTGGTCCTGAACTCCTAATCCTCCTGCCTCTTTCTTCCAAGCCCTGGAAGGAAGCATTGACACCATGCCCAGCTAGCTACAGACTTGGTTGGCTCTAATACATCCATAAAAGGATCCAAGTTGGCTTTTCTGTATGCGACCCTCAATACCTAATCTCTGCGCCAGAGAACAGGTTGAAACAAGTGGCTCTCACCTCTAGCAGCTCATCTCCAATTCGCATCCGTCCATCTGCAGCAGCAGGTCCCTCTGGGTTAATCCCCACCACAAAGATGCTCATCCGTGACCTGTCTTTATTGCCAGCGAGGCTGAGGCCCAGTCCATTCTTATCCTTTTCCAGTTCAATAATGTGTAATTCTCCAGGCAGGTCTGCATATCTTTGTCTGATCTTTTCTATATTGAAAATAAAAAAAAAAAAAAATAGAGCATGAGTATTAAGAAGGTATCAGATTCTCCCATACTTAGTATAGTTCATTTACAGTGCTTCCTTAGAATAAATCACTTAAGATTTTCATGACCTTGTGGGTAAGCTATAGTTAGCAATTTTTATTTCCACCTAAGCTTGGATGTCCTACAAAACTTCTCACTTCCAGTTTCTACTAGCCTAGCCCTTCATGGACTGTTTTACCTTCACGTACATAACTAAATATGGGGAAATCATGACCCCCAGCCTCCACCTGGACAAACAGGTTTAGAATATTCACTAATAGTGAGGTATGAATAAAGTATTTGGTTTTAGAGATAAAATATTGAGCCAAACAATTATTATTTGTACTCTCATGAACTTAAGGTTCGGTCCAAAAAAATTCAATAATTTATTATACTAAAATATAGTTATTTAGGGGCTGGAGAGATGGCTCAGCTGTTTAGAGAATTGTCTGCTCTTCCAGAGTTCCTGAGTTCAATTCCCAACAACCACATGGTGGCTCACAACTATCTATACTGGGATCTGATGCCCTCTTCTGGCATGCAAGTGTACATGCAGATAGAGCACTCATATACATTAAATGAATAAATCTTTAAAAATATATATTTAGTTATTTAAAAATATGTTTGTCACACTAGGGATTGAATCAAAGGTCATGTTTGTGGTTGGCAAGAGCTTTTCCACTTGCTCATAGCAATACCTTAAAATACATTCTTAGAATATATAAACAGCATAAAATAACACTGGATTAAGTGAGTAAAAAGAAGGGAAAGAAAGATGCCTGTTTAGCTGTCTGATCTAGAAGCAATCCACAAACGCCCACACACCCATCAATCAGTGGAATGTTTTATCTCTATGGGGTTATACTTCTCCTTCACTATGTTGAAGGTCTTAACAGTCATGGCTTATCCATGTTCAACATCCATCTTTCCAACTTCTATTTTACCCTGTTTGCTGGCTAGCCTTTTGTCAACATGACACAAGGGAGCATCAGCAGGAAGAGGGAACCTTAACTGAGATAGGCCCCCATTAGATTGGCCTATAGGCAAATCTGTGGTGCATTCACTTGATTGACAATTGATGAAGGAGGGCCAACCCAGGTGTGTGGTGCCAGCCCCTGGCAGGTGATCTTGTGCTACATAAGAAAGCAGGCTGCTCAAGCCTTGAGTGAGGTAGTCAACAGCAGCATTCCTCCATGACCTCTGCTTCAGGTCCTTTCCTGCCGTTCCTTCATGATGGGCTATAAATGATAAGCTGAAATAAACCCTTTCCTCCCCAAGTTGCTTTGTTCATAGTGTTTATCACAGCGACAGACAGCGAGCTAGGAAGCCCGTCACTTCTACACTATGGTCTAAATTAGCTAGCTCGACTGCTGGTTTGGGTCACTTTTCACTTGTGCTGGTTCCATACAACAAAACCACACTAGTACATTGGTAGAGACAACGTGCTCAATCCGGTCTCCCTTCCCACACTGAGCCAGCTCAGAAAGAAAACTAGAGAAGTGAAAAGAGAAAAGAAATAAATGCAGACAGCTTTGCTTATATGAGAATGGCTTCAGATCACTGTGACATGAATTACGATTTGGCAGACATAAACACGCATATGATAAAGCTGGATGTGACACAAGGCGTTTTTAGAATCAGCATGCAGGAAGCTGAAGCAGGCTGATCTCCAGGTCAATGCCAGCCTAAGCTACATATCAAGGCCCTATCTCATAAAAAGAAAAAAGAAAAGAAGAAAATGCAAACAAAAAACAAAGATCTAAAATATTTGTGTGTGCTCCAATTTTAGGGCTGAAGAGATAGCTTATTGAGGCTGAGGGTCACTGATGGATGAGGCTGGATGGGCAATGAGCTCCAGAGCTTTGTTTGCCTCTGCCCCAGTGCTGGGGTTTCAGACCTGCTTCTGGGCTGGCTATCCTAACTCAGGTCCTCATGCTTCCACAAGAACTTCACCTACTGATCACCTCCCCCCACCCTCACTCCCCACACACCCTGTCTGGATGTCGTGTCACTTTTTGAGGCTGGTCTAATTTTATTTTGTTGCTGCTGTTCTTCACAGAGGCAGTATTTCATGTAGCCCATGCTGGCTTCACACTCGGTATGTAACTGGGGATGTTCTTGAACTTCTGGCCTCTTCTGATCTCTCAAAGGACAGGGGTGAGAAGGTGCAACTCTCCTGCCTGGCATAATCCTGACTTTTCACTCCCCTAACAGACAGAGATTCAGCAAGGAATGAAGATTTCTCCCTTATGAAACTTGTTATGTAATCGCTAGTCTGTGGTTTAGATCTGCAATGAACCTGCAACTTCTGTAAGCAGACTTGGTTCTAGAATGGGGATGAGCCAGGGCGTGGGGTCTGAGTGAAGCATAATGGTTCTCATTGAGTCAGTGAAGTTATTCACCATGGATTCACAGCTTAGGAGACTTGGGGGGAAAAGGCTGTGTTATAAAAGCAAACTTTCTTTGCTTCCTGGCCACCATGAAACAATTTAATACAATTCAAGCTAAGAACATGTTCTGCAGCAGTTAAAAATGGGCAAACTTTCCAAGGCAAATCACCACGGCAGTAGCCAGAAGGACAAAGTTCAAAGATGATGTTAATAGTGAGGGATAAATATGCATTTTTGAGGATTAAAAATAAGATAGCTGGTAAAACAGAAGGATATTTTCTGACGTTCTATCTACAGGTAGAAAAACATAGCAAAGAGAAGATGCTTTAATTAATCACAGAATTAATAAACAGAAGTTTTACAAATAAAAATAGAAGAAGACATCTTGCTCCAACACAGACTCAAAAATGTCAGGTATGTGAGAAAGTGCTCAAATTTCCTAGCAAGTTTTGAATTCCAAATTAAATGGGATATTGATATCAGGGGTTGTAGACCATAAGGCCCTGAGTTCTATCCTCTCTCCATCCCCACAAAATAAATGGTATATCAAGACAGAAAATGAGACATTAAGTAAACGAGATTATTAAAAAAGAAAACATGTTAACATACTGCTCAGAATGAAAACTTCATCACCTGCCTTTGCAGAGATAAGGAGACACACTGGGCTGGAAGTGCTGACCACTCTGGACAGCACTCAGGCTGTAAATGCTTGAAACCACCAGTTCCAATCCTGCTATGTACAGTTTCCCTATTCGACATAAGCGTCTTAACCGTTATCACTGCTGCGATAAAAATACCATGACTAAAAGGAACTCAGGGAACGAAGGGTTTCTTTCACTTATAGCACAGTTTCATGTAACAGTTCATCATCCAAAGCAGTCAGGACAGGAACTCAAACACGGTTGGAACCTGGAGTCAGGAGCTGTTGCAGAAACCATGGAGGGGTACTGCTGACCGGCTGGCTCCCCATGCTTCCTCAGCCTGCTCTCTTATAGAACCCAGGACCACCAGCCCAGAGTAATACCTATCCACAATGGACTGGGCCCTCTTATATTAATAACTAATAAATAAAATGCTCTACAGGCTTGCCTACAGCCTGGTCTCATGGAGGCATTTTTCTCAATTGAGGGTCCCATCATTCAGATGACTTTAGCTTGTGTGAAGTTGACATAAAACTATTCAGCAGGTATCAAGAGGATATGGTGGAAGGTATCTAAGCATGACAGCAAAGAAGAGATTTTCAAGACAGTGTTGAGTGAAAGAGAAGGATGAGAGCCATACCATTCCTGGATCATTTACTCAAGTTACCAGGCAGCATAAAGCCCCCGGTACATATTTGCAAGTGCATATATAAAGAAATGAACCTTCTGAACATCAGAATGGCTCCTTGTTGTGGGCAGAAAGAGAGAAGAATAAAAGGGAACAAAGAAAAACAGAGGCCTCAAACAGTGAAGGCTGAAAACTGTATGGTTTTAGAAAGACTTTCATTAGCATAAAGAGAATTCTAGGTTCAGAACCCACCTGGACAATCTAAAAGTCTTTTGAGTCCACTAACTATAGATTCGATTGCTTAGATGTATAAGCCACTAATTCAAGGAGGACCTCCTTTGGTAAACCTCTATCATACCCCCCAAACAGAATTAACTGTGCTAGGCCCAGGAAATCTGTATGAAGTATGAATGGACTCGTAGGGGCTTGGGGTGGAGTAGACAAGAGGGTTATGTTTAAATGCTGGCTGAGTCACTATGTTTCTCATTTGTGGATCTGTTTACATGCCCAACCTATTTGTAAAAGTGAGGTTTTTCTAAAAGCAGACGTTCCCTAAAATAACCTCAAACAGATGTCCAAATAATGCAGAAGAAAGAGAAAATCGTGGCTTTGTTTTCATTGTTTAGTTAATGATGTTTGAAATTAATCTTGAATTGATGACAAGGCTATTCTTTTCTTCTTAATTTTGTCTGCTATGAGGAAAACTGCCTCTTGAAAGAAAGAAGTTCCTCTCATGCTGACATTAAAAAACAAAACAAAACCCAAAAAGTCACTTAGTCTCCACTGGCGGTCCTGGAGAAGAGGCCAACACCATCCTCTACCCTCCTCCAGGTTTCTTCTCAAGAAGCACGGAGGACCACTGCAAAACCATTGCTGCCTGTGGATATAACCCACAGAGACAGCTGAAACACTGCGAGTCAAGTCCTTTCAGTTAGCGACGATGAGACAGCTCTGGGAATATGTAGGGACTGCTGTACCGTATCAGTGAACTTAATGATGGGAACTCAAACATTGCTAAAAGTGGTAAATAGGGCGTGTGTTTTAAACATACCTACATAAAGCCCTATCATTAATCTAATGGACTCCAGAGATTTGGTTTATTAATAGCAATCCATATTAATTATATTAATCCAGGTAGGGCCTAAGATACAGGTTTATTTTCCTTACTTTGTAAGATTAGAAGGTTAATTTTCCTGGCCTGAGTTTTAATGCCACAGTTAAACAACCCATTGAGTCAATGAGCAAATTTTAATGGAATCCACCTGACATTAAAGTTGTAAAACAAAAGTAATTCATTTTGTGAAA